ACAATGGTTGTGGGCAGTGTCAACCCCACGTGTAATGACATTTCTAGAGAGGTGCACGTCAGATTCCCCCAAATGTTACACTGTAGGGTTTCGGAGGGGTTTGCAGTTACGGGATAGGTACGGTGTAAATTTCCCGGTGAAGCATGAGTCCTCAGTCAGGTTAGAGAAACAGGCCTTCATGCTGGAACTGCTGCAAAGACACACTAAGTGAGGGAGGCTGATAAGAAGAAGAGAGCTGCTTGGTTGTGTTTGGATTCAGCCGTCGTGTTTGTGAGAAAGCGTGAAGGGTTGATGGGAGAATCGGCGGTTTTAGCCAAAGGAAAGTCCGCACTAGTGTGATGAAATGATTTTTAAAAATCTGTTTTGTTAATTGAGGTTTCATTTCTCCCGCATAATATGGACTCATTTCTATCAAATGGTGACTCAAAGAAGGTAACACAGACTCATTGTCTTTACTGTGCACCCCTGTTTACCCCAGAAACCCTCTGTGAGCCAGGAAAAACCTGCTGTAAGCTCTGTTTGACCAAGAAAGAGTGATGGAGTGCCGCATTACATGACCTGGTCTCCAAAAGCTACAGACATAAACTCAAGCGAGATGGTTAGGGACTGCAGCCAACAAGTGTTCAACATGTGTGGCAGCAGCTTCAAGAGTAAAGAGAGTGCAAAGCTGTTACTGAAGCAGAATTAAGCAGCTTTAAGAAACTCTAATGTTGCATATTTGGTGTTATTTACACTCTGATCTTTGCATCATAAATCCCTGTTATTCATTACTTTGAGGTTTTTCTACACTGTGGGAAATAGTCAAAAGAAATTTAGGTTCATTATAAGACTGGAGAGGGAGTCCCAACAGTGGGACAGGCTGCATGAACTAGCCGTTGGCAACAGTAGGGAGGAAAAACTCCCTTTGAATTAGAAAAGAAGCTCAGCGAGGGAAGGCTGTGTGGCACGTCGCGTCGCTTTATTGCTGTGGTTGCATTCAGAGCCAAATAAACTTAGTGGAACGATGAACTGCTGCGATTGGTCGTGTGTTTAATTTACTGAATTAGCTTAAACTAGCAGAGCTGCCTGATCATTTCAACTGTTTTGGAAAATATTTGGTTGTGACACAAAGAATGAGGAGAAGTTATATAAATAAGATTTTATTTATTATTTATTGATTAACCTTTATTTAACCAGGAAGATCCCATTGAGATAAACATTTCTTTTTCAAGGGAGACTTGTCCAAGACAGGCAGCAGCAAGTGTCTCACAGTTACAGACATGACTCAGTTAAACACAGGCAGCAACAACACACATGCAACAATCATAGATTTATTTATGTCATTTACTTATTTTATCACATTAAGATTTGTGTCCATCGGAGTGGGTGGCTGTGATTATCATCAACTGCATATGAATGCTTACTGCGTGTCCACACAGGAGGAACCTCAACTATTTCTCCAGCGCCTACACTGCCGCAGTGAGCGCCGTGGACCCGGACGCAGGGCACGGCGAGCTGGTCATCAAAGTGCCCTCTGAGCTCTGGAAACAAGGAGATGGTAACGGAGTAGTCTATCAAGTGTTCTTGTGTAGCACCTTTCATGCAGATTAGTGCTTTTACTTTGATATCAACGAAGCCGATAATAAGAACAAATGTAAACAAAACACAACTGAAACTAAAAGCACAGCATACATTAGAATAAAATAAACATATATATTTATCTAATTGAGATAAAGTGCAATAAAATGTGCAAGTAAATGGCCTGTATTTGTATAGCGCTTTCCTAGTCCCTAAGGACCCCAAAGCGCTTTACAGTCATCCACACATTCACACACTGGTGATGAAGCTACATTGTAGCCACAGCTGCCCTGGGGCGCACTGACAGAGGCGAGGCTGCCGGACACTGGCGCCACCGGGCCCTCTGACCACCACCAGTAGGCAGCGAGTGAAGTGTCTTGCCCAAGGACACAACGACCGAGACTGTCCAAGTCGGGGCTCAAACCGGCAACCTTCCGATTACAAGACGAACTCCCAACTGTTGACCCACGATCAAGAGTTGAGAGTTCGATCGTAAACTGAAAGAAGAATTAAAATTAAATAAAAAAACAAACTAAAACACAATAAACTCGAAAGCTGTTAGTAAACTAAAAGCATGCAAAGTAAAACTGTATGAAATGCAGTAAAATAAAGAAACACTGTAACAGCTGAACAGAACTGCAGCCACAAAGCCTGGTTAAAGAGACAGACGTTAAGTTTCAGGTTCAGTATTTCAACACTTCAGCTGCTCCCAGGCTCACTGCTACAGCCGCTCTTATCATTTAAGCTAAATAGTGCCCACACAGTTTTTCATTTTATACCTGGACCAACTAGCAGATGCATGTCAGGTGAGCTGAGGGGCTGTAATGGCTGTATACACTGTAAAGACTCGAGCAGCTGTTCCAAAAATCTGCCAATCAGATGGCGGCGACTCAACCCAACTGCATGTAGACATGATCAAGACAACCTGCTGAAAGTCAAATCAAGCATGAGAATGGTGGAGGAGCGGTGGTTTCAGTGACTGTGAACATAGCATGGGCGCTCGGTCTGAGCATCTCAGACGACGTCAGAGGAGAACGCACAGACTGCTTTGAACAGGAAGCAGCAGCTGCTCAGATAATTACTCATTACAGCAGGAGGGCACCTGCAAACACAACCTGTCAAACTTCAACATAGATGCACTATAGCTGCAGAAGACCGAGAGGGCGCACTCCTGTCAGCTGGGGCTGCACAAATAAAGCTCGCATTCCCTCTGTGACATTATGTTGGGTCAGAATTTGGTATAAACACACTACCTGAGTGTAAGCATGTTCTGATGGCTGCTTCCAGCAGGTTTACACACCATTGAACTCCAGTCATGATGACTTCACTGTACAAAAGAGGGTCCAACCTAATATTAGCATGTTGTACCAAAAAAATAGACCATACAAACAATTGAAGGCTGCCTGAATGTGGATGTGAACATGAGTTTCTCTGTCATTCAGAGACAGAAACACTCAAGAACGGAGAGGAGAAGTGTTGAAACGTTTGGAGGTCAAACTGGGTCTCCGGTGTTGAGGCTCAGAGTGAGCTCACTAGGTTGAATTTAACAGAAAAGTTAACATTTGCTCCTTCTTCTCAAATTTGTCTTAGCGTCAGTGTAACTATAAAAAGAAATACCATCTCTGAGGGGTAACATTGAAGGTTTGTGGCTAGCTTAGAGACTTGTTGACACGTATGTCTAAAGTTATTGTTTTCAACAAATAATAAGCAGAAAAATAAAAATAAAATTTTTTTCAAATGACATTTTATTTTGAAAAGTCATCACCTGGTTACTTGTCTGTTGATTGTATCCAGTTCACTAAAATAAGGTTTTTGCCTTTTGTTGAATGAACATAAATAAAAATGTTTTCATGTTTTGTTTTTGTATCCAGATCTGAAAGTGTTGAAGGTGTACATCGACTTTTCTCTGGACCAGCCCAAAGGCGGCCTCCACTTTGTTGTTCCTGATGTGGAGGGGAGCATGGCGGAGAGAGGAGCCCACGTGTTCTCCTTTGGGTACCAGAACTCCACGAGGTCTGCAAACAAACAATCTTCTCGTTCGTAGTAGATGAATAAATAAAAGCCGCGTTCTTTGGCTCCATGTTGACAGATACAATATGTAGAAGTTTTCTTTTGGATGTTCCAGCTTTGGAAGTTGTGATGAAAACATGAAAATCTTCTCGTGTCACAGATTCTGGTTCCCTTGCGTGGACTCTTACTCAGAGCTGTGCACATGGAAGCTGGAGTTCACTGTGGATGCATCTATGGTGGCTGTATCATGCGGGGATCTGGTGGAGACCATTTACACTCACGACATGAGAAAGAAGACTTTCCATTACGTCCTTCCCATCCCAACAGCAGCTCCCAACATCTCCCTGGCTGTGGGCCCCTTTGAAATCCTTGTGGACCCCTACATGCACGAGGTGGGTCCTCGTTCTCTGTTCTTTCTGCGCGGAGTTTAAAGAAACGTTGCAGTTATTTCATCCTGCAGGTATTTATACAAACTGACATCAAACATGTTCATAGTTGCAGGAAAGGATGCTTACCACAAACACACAAACTGCTCTGGAACAGATAAATCAGGCTTCCACTTTAATTGGACTCACTGACCCCAAACCAGTCAGAAATGTACTGGACTGTGGTTAAAGGTCATGAAGTGTTTGTGTGAACTTTAACCTCAGCTGTACACCTTTTAGATCAACTGGCTTGGTTAAATTCTGCAACGACAGATGCAGAATGCAGTCGTCGAATAATCCAGACAGATGAGATTAGTCCAGCTTTTTACATCATTTTTATCCTAAAACGCCTTTAAAGTGGTTTAAATGGAGCTTTGTCCTGTAGTGTTTTTGATGACCACTTACTTAAGTGTCTTTTGAAGGTAAACGGTGTAAATAAAGAAGAATGCATCGGCTCTTGTCACATAATCTTTGTCTTTGTTTCCTGTCAGGTGACACATTTCTGCCTGCCGCAGCTGCTCCCTCTTCTCAAACACTCAATGTCGTACCTGCACGAGATTTTTGAGTTCTACGAGGAAATCCTGACGTGCCGCTATCCTTACTCCTGTTTCAAAACCGTGTTTGTGGACGAGGCCTACGTTCAAGTATCCTCCTATGCTTCTATGAGCATCTTCAGGTAGGTCAAAGTTCACTGGTCCTTTTTGGCAGGATTGATAGAAGAAATCAGCAAATGTAAAACACAAACAGATTGCTGTTGAAGGCGTTATTCCTCTCATTCACCCGCTGCCTCTATGTTTCAGCACCAACTTGCTCCACAGCGCTATGATCATTGACCAGACTCCCCAGACTCGCCGCTGCCTGGCTCAGGCGTTGGCTCAGCAGTTCTTTGGCTGTTTCATTTCCAGGATGTCCTGGTGAGTGTTAACATGGGATGGTGAAGTAAAGCCAAAATCTGAGACACAGGTTCTAGTCCCCAAAGTCTAAGACTTAGAAAGAGGATGAGGAGTCCTGGCGTTCGGTAGTAGAGCTCCTGCTTCTCCACATCAAAGGAGCCAGTTAAGGTGGTGTGAGTTGCTCTGTGCATGTGCTGCGGGGACGAGGTTACAGGGTAGACCCAGGACACTCTGGTGAGACCTGATTGTCCTGGGAGGAGGTGGCTGTGCACAGGGAGGACTTGTCATGATCTGTAAGACAATGTTGACTCTGTCACAATGCACCACACTTTTCTTAATTGATACATTTTTTTGGAAGTTAATTTGTTTCTTTTTACTGACACGTAACCCTCGTTTGTAGTAACATGTTTCACATCATGTTTTACATCAGTTTTTTCTTTCTTCGTGGAAGCTGTCACAGATTTAGACAGCTTTTAAAGTACGGTGATTAATATGATTAATGGTTCAGATACCTTTGTTTAGACAGTTAAACAGTACTCAAATGTTTCTTGATAATTGGGTGTGTTA